TGGACTCACTCCAACTGGTCGATATGCTTCTTACGTTATAACAATAGATTGACCCCACGAATCCCTCCCCACCCAAGTGACAGGCTGCTGAGTGTGCAGAGCACTGGACAGCGATGACTGGCAGCTTGTGAGGGTCCTGTGGCCCTGGGATGTGGGCAGGGCACAGACCACAGCACAGCGCTGGGCATTAAAGGAACACCAAACTTCCTGCATTGACTGGGTGGCCCTGCTGAAAAGCAGGTATATTTGTAATTTCAGACTCTTCTGTGTTGATTTCAGTGTTAGCTTGGAAAGGTGCTGTGAACCGAAGGTGAGCAGGCACAGCTGGTGGCGTGCTTAGCAAGCACGGTCAGGGGAGCACAACAAGACTTAGGCCTAGGGCAGGGCAGGGGGCTGGCGTGGCCCACTTGGGGCTGGGGGAGCTCACACTTGGGGCTGGGGGAGCTCGCAGTCTATGTGATCTACACAGGATTAGCAACTGTATGGTAGAGCTTTTGCTTACAATATAGTCTGCTTTCACACTCCCAATGACCTGTTTTGTGGAAAATACGGCTCCAGTGGCATGGAAACAAAAAGTGGTAACAGCTGTTTCATGGGTTTCTTCACAGAACAGGCCTTGGCCACAGGGGAGGAAGCAGACTCAACCCATTCTTCTGTGCAATTAAGGAATTAGATCATTTGAATTTATTTTACTTATACAGGAAAGGGAATTTCATTCCTTTTTGCAGCTTAAATACCTAAACCCAACTGTGTGTCAGAGACTGAAGCAAAGAGAAATAGAGGAAGATATGCTCAGCACACAGCCAGAAAATCCTGCTTTTTAATCCCTTGGCTGACAGTTGCTCCCTTGATTGCTTTAAAGTTCCTGTAGCCAGTTGGCATGGTGTTTCCTCTTCTGTGACATGGAGAAAGCTATTACCTATTTTACGTGCGTCTGGAATACTAATGTTTGTTTGCAAAGCGCTTAGCTTTAGTAGCAGTATGCAGCGGATGCCCACCCTGAGTGCAAATTTATGGTCTGTTCTGTATGATTCGCTTGCTCGGATGGGTTTAAGAGACAGCTCACCCCCACCACCACCACCACCGCAGCCAGCCAAGGCAGCCTTTATCAACAGAGAGAAACAACAGCTACGAGTTATCAGTGTATTGAGCACAGGGTGTTGTTGCCTCTGCACATCTGCCAGAAGATCTTAAACAGATAATCTGAGACAGGGCTGGTTTTTAACATACAGGCTGACTACCTATCCACAAGTTCCAGAAAAATGAGTTACCTGTTCTAACACAGATAACAAATAATGGACAAACAGTGCCCCGTGAATAGAAACAAAGGAGCGAATTACACTCCCGGTGGTGAGCGCAGATTAGATGCCCACTAAAATTCTGAATGTACCTAGTAGCATGGGGAGGAAAGGTGAAGCAAGGAAGCACAGAAATAATAACAGAGCTGACAAATCAGATGCAGGATGCTCTTGAACGTGCCTGCAATTCTGTGAGGCTTGATGGTTTCTGAGAAATGAAGGGATGGATAGGTTAAATATCAAACCACCTCTCCTCTTGGCGGAACCGAGTAATGGAGGTGGCCTTCCAAAAGCAACCTGTGATTACAGTGGTGCCTCACTAGCGCTCTTACCTGTGTTTTCCTTTTAATTGAACCATTATAGCCTTCTTGACCTGCCCTGACTTGACTGTTTTTGGAGGACAGCATTGTAGATTGAAAGACTTAAAGTACAGAGGTTTTTCGAAGGCTAAATGGGTCACGCTGTGAAATTAGAGGTAAAAAAAGCCCAACAAAATGCATAATTTTTCAATTTGTAGACAGACGTGCACAAAACCACTGATTGATTGACATGTTTACCAGAATATGGACCTTTTAGTGAAGTTCATTAGCAACTGGCAGCATATTTCAACAGATGATTTTGCTTTTCTTACCTTGAAAACTTTTTTGGTTTTGAAATTCCTTTGATACCACTGATGAGAACTTCCTGATTGGATTTCCAAATGCATTTGTTAGCAGATCAGATCTTTGATGTTGCTCATTTGGATGGAACGATATCAACAGGTATCTTAAATGCAACAGTATTCTGGCTTGGGGTGTGCTTTGTTTTCATACGTGACAGATACCTGCATACTACTGGATTACCACTCTGGTGTGTTTCTGAACTCTTCTCAAGTCCGCTTTAATCAGAAATTAAATGGTGATTCCACTGAAGGATAGCTTTGTCTTTTTCATTCAAAATGAAGTCTGAAACTGCCTGCTTTCTACAGTGCCAAATCATCTGAAAAAAATTACAAACTTAAGAAGGTAAACATAGAGTTCAGAGAAGTAAAACAAACCAACCAGTTAAATTTCCAAAAGTTACAACACATTAGAGGGAAAAACTGAGGTACGTTTCCGTAAGGGAAATTTCAGTGCTCAACAGACTTTTGCAAGGTACCACACATCATTAGGTGTTTTTATTGCAGACTATTGCAAAGGAGAGACCCAAACTTGCTAATGGTAGCTCAGTCATACTACAGTGGCCATCATCTAATGCTGTATGTGCACTCTTATTGAGTTATTAAGTATTGATTCAGCTACATATATTTCTGTAACCTGTAAAGTTGAGCAGTACTGTGAAATAGCTATGTTTTTCTCCTTTTCTCGAGACAGGAGATGTTTCCACTTATGATTCCATTTTTAAAAGACCAGAGGGTTACAACAAAAATCTTCATCGATGTGACAGAGAACATGCAAAGAGTCGTGGTCTTAACATTAACGAGGAGGTAACCCTTTGATAATTTCATAATTATCTTTGTTAAATCTGTTTTTTACTTTCTGACACGGCTGGGGACTGTTGGTATTGTTTTACCCTTTACAATGCGGCCTGTATGGTATCAAAGGAATTGGCAGGAGGACATCATTGTCCTCAGCCTGGAGGTTTGAGAAAAAGCATTAGTCAGTGAAGACACCTGAGTTAGCTCCTGCTCTTCAGTATCCTGTGGAATTCCAGGTGACAAGCCGTATGCCAGTTAAAGCAGGGGGAAGGAGATAAACGCAGTGGGGCGAACCCTCTGTTACAGTGCATCAGGGTCACTGAGAGTGACTTCTGAACTGCTGTCTGTGCCCCTCGAGAGCTGCAGTTCAGGGGGTCCTGCAGCTATTTCTGCGATGCTTGAAACCTCTTCTCAAGCACTGCCCCCTGGCATCCACCCTCCCTGTGCCAGCGATGGCTGAGAGCGCCCAAGTCTCTGAGGCTGGGGAGTCTGTCACGCAGACTTACACCAGATTGCCCTGCAGGAAGGAAATGCCTAGGAGGGGTCAGTTAGAAGAACAGGGGCATGCCTGGAAAAGGTTGTCGAAAGCATTCAAGGCCAGCAGAATCTGAGTTTGGTGTGTTGCCTGACTGCTAAGGAAGTATGCAGCCATGTTTTTAAACAGCTGCTTTGAAAACAGAAATACTACAGTATGTATACATATATATAAATGCGTATTTTTCCATGCAAAACTGAATAACACACATACACATGTAAGTCATGGCTTTATATTTATACACACACAGGCAGAGGCTGTCAAAAACCAAATGAAATGTGTCCCCTGTGTGTTAATGGACTCAAAATCCCAGTGGTTTCATGGGATGTAGAGGTGGGTAGGCTAAGAATGGCTGCCTGTACTGGTGGTTATACATGACAGAGGTGGAAGAAGGAGAGAGACAAAAGTTAAAAATACTGTAAACGCTGTGTAATAACTCTGTTGGTATTTTGTGACAAAGGCCACCGCTTGTGGTTCGTCTCACTGGCAGCTATGTATGCCAGACATTTCAGCACATAGCCGTAATGCCCGTCAGCTCGCTCGGGCAGTGCAGGGAGCATTAGGTGCTCCCAAAGGAATCCCAGGAGCGCCCATTGCCATCACCTGCTCATGCCCAGTAACTCAGCTGCAGATCTGTGTGAGGCCAAAGGCCATGTAAACGACTACTCCAATTAAACGCGAGCCTTTTTAAAACAAAACAAAGCTAACACCCCTCCCCCAGTGCCAAGCCCAACCTCCCGCTGGGAAATTTGTGCAGAAACCATTTATTGATGGATGCGGAGTTCATGTTTCTTACTGAGCTCTTGTGCCCTTTCAGAATCGGCAAAATTCACTTCCCTAACAGTTTGCTTCCTATGGAAAACATGTATGGGCCAGAATTCGTACCAGCTCTGCCGGGCAGTGCAAGGCAAGGGACTCTGCCAGAGCAGGTGTTCCTTAATCCAGCCCTTTAATTAGCACGGAGACACATCAAACCCACAGCTGTTTAATGCCTCCTGCACGTGATGACACCCAACACTGGACTTACCCATAACTAAGTGCAGGTCACATACTCAACTCTTGCTCTTTAATTACCTCAGTGGCCCTCACAGGCTTTTATATAATAATAACTGTATTATAAAACATAATAAATAAAAAAGCCACCATTGCCATCTTTCTAGTACAATACTCAAAGGAGACAGGCGGTATGCACCACAGTTCACTCCTTTCCTTGAAGTGGAAAAAACCAAACCACTGCGAATAAGCCCTTCATTTCCTGCAGAGAGCCAGGGCGTGCCAGGGGAATCTGAGAGTGCCGTCACAGATGCTCGCTTTAGCTACGCGCAGCGCAGTGGCTGCAACAGAGTGTTCGCACAAGGCCGTCATTGCCGATTCCAAGTGCTAGTGGTGCTGGAATTACACCCTGCGAAGGCATGTAGCGGGATGCTTCCCTGGCCAACTGTTAGAAAATCTGAAATCTGCTGAATGCTGAATCCGCAGAGATGAAATAGCACCATGCACAGTCAGCGCTGTGCTACCAAGGATGCTGAAAACTGCATCTCACTTACTTAAAGGGAACACAAACTGTGGGGTTTTCTTTTAAAAACAAAGGGTTTGCAGCATCTTCCCAAGAATGTCAGGTCTAGTTCCATCCATGAGCCTGGAAGTGTCTCACCGATGACTGCCCCTCAGATCGGTGCTCCCACCTGCATCCTCGCAGGGGCTCGTGTGCTTCACGGGTTCTGTCGTAAGTTGTGATACGGCGCAGACTTGCATCTGTCGCAGCAAAGAAGTCGCTTGTCTGCAACTGGACTGCGGTGTGGCGGCCGCATTTTGATTCTCCTTGTCGATATTATTTATACTGTGAGACGAGGTAAACACGCTGGGGAGCAAGGCTTCCTGTGTTAGCCACTGAGCAAACATACAGGCAGCCTGATAAACCTGAGACCTTTGGCTAGGGAGAGAAAAGCAAACAAATCCTGTCTTCCCCTTCTGACTCCAGAGCTCTCCCTTGATGTGGCACAGGAGGGGACTGCAGATTTCAGGCAGTGATTGCACGGTCACTTAAAGTGCAGTTTACTAGGAACAAGCTTAAAATAAGCTTTTCTTGGACAGCTTTTTTTTCCCCAAGTCCCATCGTTGCAGAGCAGTTATTTCTGTCATCTTACAGCTACAAGCATTTTTAGCAAAGCCTTTCGTTGTGCAGAAACACAGTAGTATATGTATTTATGTAGTATTTATGTCCTTCAGGGAGACTAGTGGTGGCTCACGGGTTTTTCTTTAGGCTTTGATACTTTTCATGCAGTGGTTTCGCTGAATTGTGCAAGTTGGGTAAGTGTTCCTGTAACAGGGGATACAAATTAAAGTCTCTCTGATTTTTCAAATGAATCATGCAAGTCAGCGCACAAAAAAATACAGATGAAAATCTGTGCCACTTTCCAGTAACGCAGCGTGCAGTTTGCCAAAAATCACATGGTACTCGCCTCTGTGTGCGTCTATGAGCGTGTAAAAAAATCACCAGTCCACAGTAACTCATGGCACAGCTCCCTGTCTTGTCATCTTGTGATACATTCATGGCTTATTAATATACATAAAAAACTAGGTCAGGGGTGGAACAGCAAGAGCGCAGGGCACTGCTAAATAAATATACGTCCATATAGCAGATGCTGTACAGCGCTTTCCCTTATTTTGCCCCTGGCCACGGCACACTGAGCAGTAGATAACTGCCAAGTATTCTCTCAGTGATTTTCTTCTAAGGAGCATTTTGTATTTTCACAGGAAATGGCAAGACCTGTCGCTGTTTTGTCATCTTCAGAGTATGGGAGACGCATAAATAAGCCCATAGAGCAGCCCATCAGAGATCACGCAAGGATTAATCATGTGCAGGCAGAATTCTACAGGAAAAGTGGCATCACCTGCTTAATGGAAAAACCTTCTCCAAGCCTGGATCTATACTAAATCTCCTGTACCTGTCATTACTAGCAACATTTATGTGGAAGAAAACCCCATCTCACCTCAAAAAGCAGTATGTTACTTCTCCCTCTCCCTCTACATTTTAGTTAATAGGAATGATTTGGATGAAAGAGCAGCTGTGCTCTGCTGCACGCTCATTCAGATGCACGTCTTCTCCTTACCGTCTCATAAAATTCTCATGAAGAAGAGCATCAGCAAGAGCTGAACATTTTAGGTAGCAAGACTGGAAATGAGACCTGTTGAGTCAACAGCTGTCTCTGCTATTTTCGGCAGTGCTTCTGCATAATTATTCAGACTTAACATTTAACCAAGCTTCTTCCTCCTGGTACCAGTGGTCACCGAATTCTTAATCCTCGCAATGCTGCTACAAAACTGCTCGGTGTTATTTTATCTGCACAGCAGCTGAAACGGGGATTGAACTCAGATTTTCCAAAATGCATGGGTGTACCCATAAATGGGCAAGTACAGAAACGATGTCAGAGAAGTGCTTTGCAGTTCCAGTGGACTTCAAGTGGAAATCAGGTTCAGGCGAGCTTTGGAGTACTTTGCATTTCAACGGACAAAACCTGGGCTTAGCTGATTTCAGACATCCGTTTTGCTGGCTTTCACTGTACAAATGGTGTCTGAGGGATTGATGCGTTCAAGAAAAATCATCTTTGGTTCTGTATTTAATACTGGGAAAAAAAAGAAACCACAAAACCCAAAACATCTAGGAGAACAAGCATTAGTAGAGCGGTAGAAAGGACGTGAAAACCAGGAGGATTTGAGCAGTGCTCATTTAAGAAGCATGTTTAGAGGAAATGTCTAAACCTGCTTAAACATTCAGAGCCGTGTGTTCTCACTGAAGGCAGTGCTGAAGTGTTAAGGTCAGTTCAGGAGAAGCAAGGACTGGAAGTCCACAGCTTTGACTGACACTGGAGTTCTGTCAGAATGCTAGGGGTTGGAAGGGACCTTTGGGATCATACGGTCCAAGCCCCAAGGAGCTGGACAACACACAGGAAGTCTGTATCATTTGTGAACACAGTGAGTCTCCCAGTGAAAAACCATAAAAACAAAGAAATTCTTAATCTGGGGCCTGGATAAGTAGTAAATGAGGCAGTCAACAGCACTTGCTTGGCATAATGTGAGCAGCAGAGCACACAGAGCAGCCCATTCCAAGAGGGGTTTCTTTCCTTATTCATGACCTGTAAGTTCTTTGATATTCAGTGAGGTCCAGGCAGTAACCGCTACGTTCCTTCTCAACAATAAACAGATTTGTTACACAAATCCAGCAGCATTAAATGAAAAGGGATCAAAGCGGGAAGGAAATGTTTTCTAACAGTACCAGAATGCTTTTTCAAGCATCAGTATCAGATGTATACCAGTGAAGAATGAGATGGAGTATGGCCGTATTCTAGGCAGATTATTTTTAGTTTGGGACAGTCAGTACGAATTACTACTTCTAAGTAGCCTTCCTGTATTCACAAACCATCGGGGGGGGAGGGGGGCGGAAACCAAACCACTCAGGAAATCATTTGTTTGAGAACACCACCACCTTGTGGTGTGTGTGAGAAACGGGCATCGCCCGCTCCCTCCCACGGCGGCGAAAGGCATGAGTCATCACAACGCCGGTATGAGTTTTCCTCTCTCCTTTCTTTGTCACCCCCTTTTCATCCCTCCTCACTTGAAAAGCCTTGTCGCAGCTTGTACCTCCTACTCCTTGTTTCTCATTCAGTTCTGAGTGGTTGACTTCTCCCTTCAGTGCTCAGACAAAAGAATACCGTGACGATTTCTTCGATACTGGGGAGGAGTTCCTTACCGCTGTCTGCAAAGACATCTCAGTCCTTCTCCTTCAACCTCTCTTTTGCTAGGATGCCAGCTCTCAGGTTACCCGTGTGCTGTAAGCTTCCCATCACGCTGCTGGGAAGCATCTCATTTCCTCTTGGTGCTCTCCCACCTCTCAGTGCTGACTACTCCTTGAGTAAGGGGTCTGCGCGTGCAGCAAATTAACCCAAAGAGAGTGCACAGCATGACTCGATGTATATCGTATTCTGGATCTGGATTTTGCATCCAAAAATCTCCAGGGATTTTTGGGACAACTGACAGATACCCGCAGCTCACAAATTGTTAACAGTAGTCTTGGAAGGGAAAAAAATGGCCACTGCATCTATTGGTGAAATACACAGAACTTCAAGGATGTAAAAGTTTCACCTTTTTTGTGTTAACGCACACTAGTTAAAATCAAACCAGGTGATGCTGGGAATTCTGCTTTGCTCCTCATAAATACTAATTCCAGACAGGATAGGATGCACAAGCTGACCTGAAAACGCACTTTACGTGGTGGTCCATCAGGTATACGTTATGTTGTTTTGCTTTCATCCATCTGTAAAGCAACACGCAGACCCAAGTTCGGTCACGCTTGCTCTGGCTGAAAGCGGTTACGGGCTTCGGTTCTCGGTTCCACCCTCCTGTCAGAATTCACACACACACACAAAAAAGGACCGTGCAGGGGACAGTCGTTCCGAGCCAACTAGATGATACCTGAGGGTCCCCTCCAACCCCGACCTTCTGTGATTGTTTAAGCTGCGAAGCGAAGGAGCTCCGGAGCACACACAGGACCCTACTTAGTTTAGCTAAAACTGCCACCAAAGACAAAAGTAGAACTAGTACATACCCAGAACTGGGGGTGGACCCCCAGAGAGAGCCGTGCAAGTCCACTGCCCTGTGGCAGCTGTTCTTCCCCACAGCGAAGTGAATCTTTTTAATGAAAGCGCTCTCGTTTTCTGCAAGGCACTGCTGCTTAGCGAACAGCACTCTGCATCTCTTACGGATGAGCAGTAAGCCAATGCTGCCTGTGCAACTACTACAAATGCTAGTTTTATGAAACACCTGGGAAGCACACAACCAGCAATGAGTAAATTGCATGATTTCTCTTTATGCTGCCAAGCAAAGCCCTGACTGGTAGGTAGCATGGCACACTGTGTACATTAGTGTCAGAGAGTGTCCTTGGACAGTCACATCTGCCCATCTGTGGCTGCGAGTTAGAACCGGGGAACATCCAGAGGAAACACAGCACAGACGGACACATCTGTGAACGTGTAATAAATAATGACACAAAACTTAAGAAAATAGGTTGCTCTTTAATACCCTTACATGGCAACTCTTCCAAATATTGGAAGGTCTGACATGCAAAAGCTCTAATTATATTAGGGGCAATTATTTAGAAAACAGAATTGTTCTCCCATACACAATATTTACACTTTACAGTACAGGGGGTCAACCTGTGATTCAGTATTACTCTCCCGTGTCAGCAGCTGGGTTCATCCATACGCGGAAAGATCTTTTTGTGTAGATATTCTGCCATTTCTCTGCAATTCTGTAGACCCTCCACCTCAAAAAATGGAATCTAGAAACAAAACAAAAATGATTCCTGGAAATACCTTTTACTAAACAACTGGGTAAGACTGACATTCATTATGTGTCTGTTTTAAAAATTAAACATTTCACCCTAAACATATTATTCATCTGTAATCAAAACAGTGATATCCATTACAGTTTGAACCAAGTTAACAGAGTTAGGCTAATGTGATAAGTGCTTATAAATGGAAAAGAAAACCTCAAAAATGTAGAAGTAACTGGTTTGGTCCAAAGTACGTTTAAAGATAAAAAATAACCTTATTAATTCAACAGGCAAAATAAAGGGTACACTGTTGTGAAAACATTATTTACAACATAAAGAAGTCCCTTTTTTTTGTTAAAATCCTCTTCTTAAACTCCAAATTCTGACCGTTTTTAAAAAGTATTTAAAATTAAAAATCCCAATTCTACTCAACTCTTAGATAACACTTTCCTTTAAGCCAAGATTTGAACCTCAATCACTGCAGAGGAGTACTCTCCCAAGCATTTACTATTTGGCAGAAAACACAGTCAGCATGTACTAATTGAGCCAAGTAAGAAAAAGGACTTTCTGTACACCCTCAAACAGGCAAAAGCTGGGCACAGAGAACGTGATGTAGAAAGGACAAGACTACATCTGCCTCGGGAAGTAACTAGTTTCAAGCATAAAATAATCATTTCTCACTTATTTGATTTTGCTCTGGCTAACAAAACCACTGTCTTTGGACTTTACCTGCACAACTTCATAACCAAGTAACTGAAGGTGTCTCTGTTTAATAGCTTCTTCTCCCAGCAGGTTGTGGCTATTAACGCAAAATCTGTTTTGACCGTCAACGCAGAGGGCGATTCTAAAAATCAAGCACAAGTGTTGTATCAAAAAAAGAGAAATCAGTTAGTAACCAGAACTACTGCAGTTCCTGAGAAGCCTAAGACAATAAATAACTCCCCACTTACTCCCTAACACCTCCTGGAATTCAGTGTTGTAGGATGGAAGTTACTTAGTTCAGGACAATTTAAAACGCTCAGTTTAAAGGCAGGAGGGGGGAAGCCTGAAGCTTAGTGAAGCTTCCTTACACGCTCTGAACAAAAATCACCATAGAAGTTAAGTGTTTGATATTTTTAATGCTTCTATTGGTAAGCTGTTTGAATTCCTCTAGAAGAAAAAACATACAAAACACTTGTCTCAGCTTGAAAACATTTCAGCAGCTAAATTTATTCAACTTATTAGTGTACCCTTAAACCTGACAGAGTTAAGTTTAAGCTAAATCTGTTGAAGTTAAACATGGATGGCAGCATTATGGATTATGATATATTACGGTTTTTTTTTCCCTACTTGGTGATAAAAATCACATCAAATTGAACCAAAACTTGTACATCCACTGTAAAAAAGTTACTTAAATATTCAGTGTATTAAGTATACTGTGACCTTATTTACACACAAAAGCTGTAATTTAAAAAATAAAATAAAAATCAAAGCCCATTCTTAAACATTTAAAGATGGGATTTTTGAAAGAACCTATAGTAGTCTGTGAGAAAACATAACCTTTCCAAAGACTTCTGCTTTATCCACAAAAGTGCAGTTGCAAATACCACACCAGCAGGTTGCTTAA